AATTTGGGATTAACTTGTTCTCCCAGATCGCCCTGTCCTACCTTGAACTAATCTAACATTAAAAAAGATACAGGCTTCTTATCCAGCACTAGAAAGTCTCCGTATTTGTATGACACATCTTGGCGCTCCCTCAGCCCCGGCCCTCGCCATGGTTCTCCCTGTCTCCGTCGGTGTCGGTGGCGAGAGCGCGTCATCGTGTAACTGGGCAGTCTCACCACTCTCTCAAAGTCTCCAGTCGGCACTTTCCTTGGCAGCTCTGTCTTTAGCTTGGACACGCCGGTCTGCAGAACTCGAGGAAGCATACAGCTGGTGTGCTTTGGTAAAGTGATACGTAAGACAGAACGTCCCGTCAGCTCCGCGTTGATGTGGAGCTATGGCCTCCAGATGCTCTCAGGTTAGTTTGGGATTTCTATATTTTAAATACCCCCACGTGTAAAATAACACATCCAGGCAGGACATTTAATATTCGGTATCGCTGAAAAGTCATGAAGTATTTCAACGTTTTCAATTCAATTCAGTTTGTTATATTATAGCCCTAAATCACAACAGTAGTTATCTTGGAGGACTGACGAAACTGTTGAATTTGCCAACACAGATCAGAGAATCGAACAGTTTGAACACAAGAAATGCAATGATAAAAACACATAGAGCCATTGGTCCATAAGGGGCAGATGACCAATGTCCATAAATGTTGATAAATGTCCATAGCTGGTGTTTTGAGGTTCTGGCATCCATCAGGTATTCAAACATTGGAATCTTTGCATAGATTATATAGAAGATGGCTCCCACTCCATCTCTGTGTGAAGTGGGAGACAAATGGCTGCAATTGTAAAGCGCTTTGTGACTCTGGTCTGTGAAAGGCGCTGTATAAATAAAGATTACTTACTCCTAAAGAGGATTTACATTTTTTGAATCACATTACCCTTAAAAAAATCAAAACCGAGATTTATGCAATACATTTTTTTTAGCCATACATTTTGGCGTCTACCGCAGGCCTGTCCAAACTAAACTTAGCGTCATCCAGCCAACTTCAGCTCTGCCAAAAGAGGCAGCCTGTACCTATTTGGAAAGCTCCAGATTGAATCCAACCCATGATTTTTGATTGTGCCACAAAATTACGTTTATGGCTCTAAACATTTTTCAGTCAGCCAACTTCAGCTCTGTCGTTCATGAATCAGTATGGACATGTCATTGTTCATTTTAAGGCTCTGAACCGCCCGAATCCAGTCAAAATGGTTTTACTATTGTTCGATGCTGGGAAGGTCTTGTGAACTAAAGTGGCCCTCTTACTAAAAAGTTTGGACATCACTGATCTGCCGCTAAAAGGTTTTCCTAGACAAAGGAAATGGCAAACATCCTTCTACAAATGGAAGGTTTTAAGTTGCCTTTATAGACGATATATAAAGGGGTACAACCCTATAATGGCGTTAATGAATATATTTATAAAGTATGAAAAAAGTTTCTCTTGGGACAAATACAATGTAGTATTTCTGATAATATAATAATTCCCATTTTGTTTCATAAATACTAAATTGTACTTTTGAGGAACTTTATGAAATCAAACTCTATGTGTGCTTTAACAAAGAGGATAGTTTATTTTGCTTATGTCAAAATGTCATAATTAGTATTTTATATTTATAGATTATATTGTGACCTAAATATTTACTCTTTATAGACTAACCCAATTTGGTTCAGGTTAATTGTACCCATAGCTTGATTTATCTTGAGACGGAGAGCTGGTCCCATACACACATTCATACATGAACAGATCTCAGTCTGGAAAATGTGTCAATGTTAGTTTCCTCTAACTCCAAGCTTCATGTTTTATTATTTGCAGAACATTTGAATGATTAGGCTCAAGAAGGTAAAGCACTATTTGTTTGGCACTAATATAGATCTGGTCTTTAAAAAGTACTTGGTAAAGGTCAAATAATGTTCTAGTGTCACTTATCTGTTTTTGTAAATGAACTATTTACACAATCTATTAAACACAGGTGAAACTCAGACATTTTGTGTGTAGTTTAGATGTCCCCCTCTGTTATTAACGTGAAACTGATATATGACAGACTCCGACCCATCGCAAAGTGAGATATATCAAGCAAGTATTTGGTATAGACAATATAATGTTAAGAATTGGCTCACAGCTTGTGAAACCCCAAATAAAACATCTCTGAAGTCAAGTCAAAATCACAACAAAGGCTTGGCATAGGACACTTTGCATGTAATGAGTAATCATGTGTTGGGTTTGAACTTTGAACATTTGAATAATATTACACATGTTCATTCGGCTCTCATTTTACTTTCTGAACTGAACCGAAGTGAGAGGTCTTTGATTTTAAAATGACAAATAAACACAATTATGAACAGACATAAAATGCTGGGGAAAAACTTTAAAAAATGAACACAAACTCCAACTGAGCATTTTCAAAGTAACAACCGTAGATTGAGTTCGGTGAGCATGACCCGAAAGTTGTTTGCGTCTGCCCCTGATACGACGCGTAGGTCACCCCGTCAAAGCAAATGCCCAAATAAAGAAAACGCACATTCTTCCACATTCAGCCAGCTTCAGCATGCTGCCCAAAAGTAGTTTGGTGCAGCGGTTGGCACTTACGCGTAAGTAAGTAAGTAAGTAAGTTTTTATTTATATACCGCCTTTTCACTGCAGATCTGAGTCTCAAAGCGGTTTACAATTGTTAATTATGGGCATTTGTCTCTCACTCCACACAGAGATGGGAGCGGGGCCAGTACAGGAGGCACATGCCTGAACTATTGGACATATTTTTAGTGGTAGGGGAAACCGGAGTACCCGGAGGAAACCTACGCAGACACGGGGAGAACATGCAAACTCCACTCAGAAAGGCCCTGGTCCGACCGGGATTCGAACCCAGGACCTTCTTGCTGAGAGGCGAGAGTGCTATCCACTCAGCCACCGTGCCGCGTCACAGCAAAGAGGTAGATTCCACCGTCAGACAGATCCTCTCTGTGTGGAGTTTGCATGTTCTCTCCACATAGGTTTCCTGCGGGCGCTCCGGTTTCCCCTACCACTAAAAACATGTACAATAGGTCTGAATGTAAGGCATAGTCGGATTTGATGTACCAGAGTGTTGTACGGCGACTCGCTTCCTTCACCAGAGAGGGAATGGAGAAGATATCGATACTCAAAAAACATTGTAAAGCAATTTGTGTGACCTTTGTCTCTGATATTTACAGTAAATGAAAGCTTTTGGTTTTTGTCGTCCAGATAAAGGAGCAGCTGAATAGATATGACACTGAATAGAGCCTTTTTGGCACATTTACATTTATGCATGGGATTTCTTCAGAAGGATGAGGTTTACAGTGCATGTTATGTTACAATGAGAAGTCGATGTTGGTTTTTCTAACAGCAGAAACCGCATCACACTGTGGAAAGATGGCGGAAGTGTAAAGAAGCAGGCTCATCCCACTCTCGCCCCCAGGACCACTCTTAACATTCCAGGCGCAACTCGCAGCCTGCAGCTCATTAGTTCCACTGCAAAATGGCCGTCTTCCTAACGTCCTAATTGGAAACACGTGGATGACTTTCGTTAGCGCAGACCGGAAAAGCACTACTTGTTTGCATGTTGTCGCCGTGATGCACACATGCACCTCACAGTTCTTTCCATGAGGCCTTCTCAGTCCAGCGTGTTCCTGGAGTCTTTGATACAGTTAAATAGGAACCTGCCCTTGCGCTCGGCTCTCTGCTGAGATTAATTAAGTAGGCTAATTACCATAGCAGGCGTGTGTCTGCGATTGAGGGCTCCAATGTGAGATATCCTCCCCCATCTTACTTTGAATATTAACGGTGAAAGCCGGGGGGACTGCCAAAATCTCACTGGAGCTGTAGAAAAGTGGAACTCAGACTTGAGTCCTTCAAGTCTGTGAAATGGTTTAGTGAGCATTAGTTGCCGAGATTAAAAGTGATTGTAATGTACTTGAATAAGGACAAGATGCAGCCCACATGGTGATTCTTTAGTTGAGCATTTTCAGATACTCCCACATGTTCTCTGCTGTCGTGACTTTTACAAAGTAACAAGTATCGTTACTCGTTACTTCTTTTAAAATGTAACCTTTTACTTTACTTTGTTACTTTTTTTAGAAAGTAACCGAAATTGCAGCTCACCGCAGTTTTTTTTTTTCTTTTGATGAGGAGGAAGAGGCAACAAGTAAATGAGATCCGGCTCAGAGTTAAAAGTGTGACACTCTGCGATGAGCAGCGCCACCAATAGCGGCCTCTTGCTTCACATACCATGTGTCACGTACCATGTGTCACGTACCATGTGTCACGTACCATGTGTCACATACTGTGTGGAATGAGAACTGACTGATGCGCAAGCACCAGCAGATGAGTGGTCACAGCTGCCCATGGCAAATAAAAAATAGCGGTGCAGAGGATCAAAAATAAACGGCTTTACTAAAGTGTCTCTAGGTAACGCGTTACTTTATTTTCCCCCGGAAAAAATAGTTTTGTTCGTGTAACACTGGTCATGACCATAACAAATGTGACAATGTTTATTTTGCAATACATCGTTGTAAAGCTGTATTTGACAATTATTTTTACAATTGATTTGCTGGCTAATTATCCTTTTGATTAGTTGTTTAGGTCCCAAAGGTCAGTGACTATGGGATTGCCGTTGTTGTTTGACCTTGAGTTGTTTGATTAGAAAAACGTTGTAAACACATTTTGAGTTCATTCTGCAGTCATCTGATCTAAACCTCTTCTCAGTATGTTTAAAGTTGTTTTGCTAAATTAATAGACAACTATTTCAATAATTGATCAGTTGTGATTGAACTTGTTATAGCCCTAAATAACTGGGTTTTAAAAAAAATATATATTTTTATTTTATACTTGTTGAGCAGCTGCTGTAATGAGGTGCAGTAAAGAAAAGGGCGTGTTGGTGCCATCAAATGAATCAGGGATGCATGAAGAGAGGCAATCCCAGTATTATCCATTATATATCTGACAGAGTGCTTGTGTGTTTCAGACTTGGCGACCAGTTCTATAAAGACGCCATTGAGCAGTGCCGCAGCTACAATGCCCGCCTGTGCGCCGAGCGCAGCGTCCGTCTTCCATTCCTCGACTCTCAAACCGGGGTGGCCCAGAACAACTGCTACATCTGGATGGAGCGCCATCACCGGAACCCTGGTCTGCATTCTCTTCAATATCTTTATTCTAAATTCTATAACTGGGGAAAAAATTACATGGCCTTCTGTATTTGACTTCTGCAGACCGGGAGTGCTTCCCAAAAATTATTTATTTCTGTAATTGTTTTACAAAAAAAAGTGGGAAAGAGTGTCCCTGCCAAAAGGCAACAGTTCCAGGTGAATTAGACACAATCCCATTTTTTAACACACACTGACTTACACCTTTGATACGTGTAATCTTGTTATCGTCATGTATTTCTCATACCAGCGTACTGTTCTATATTGAATGGATTGTTTTAACACTCTGGGGCAGCCACTTTAAATAGGTCTTTCCAGGCTGTTAAAATATAAACATGTGTGCAGGAGTTGAAGCAGGACAGATGTACACATACCCCGCCCGCTGCTGGAGGAAGAAGAGACGGCTGCACAACTCCACGGACACTCAGACTCTGGGCATCTACGGCCTACGTCTGGGTAAGCCGACCACCGCTCCCTCAACACCAAACTGATGGACATTGCTGAATTTAGACTTTATTGATCCGCAAGGGAAATTAATAAAGACAGAAATCATATCAGCCTGAGCTTATCAGCAGTTTCCAAGTCATTAACACAAAGACAAATATGGTCATGTTCACCGTGGCTTCTAAACTCATTTTGTGCGATGTAGAACAAGTAATTGGTTTTATCACTGCAGACGGCTGCACCACTGCATGCTAAAGAAATGATTAAATACATGTTGAGGAATGGTTCCCTGGTGGCCTGCCACATTAAACTCCTCCTCCATCCATCCTCTTCAGTGCTGTCACCTGCTCATTGGCCTTGTCTCCTTGGTCTCTTCATTCGTATCTATTGCTTTCTAATATGGCAGGCTGTTGAGTTTGTTTAGTGACTTATGCTCTGTAACTACTCCATTATCTGCCCAAGGCATTGGATGTCCTACTTTGTCAACAAAAGACACGGCTGTTGACTTTGAGGTCCTGCATATCTGGAAATGGATGGAAGATATGGATATTGGAATTTATTGAATGAGAGAAATGAGTTGCTGTCGGAGGGAAATATTGGGTCATGAATCAATCAAGAATGAGCCAGCACATACTAGACAGGAGATGTGAAACAAGCCATTGTTTCCCAAACACATGGCAGTGTGTGCTATTGTTCGGGTCCGGGTTCTGCTCGCGCAGAGCGCCGCACTGCCTCTCATTACAACCGTCTGCTGGAGCCCGCCCTGCTCTGCACAAACATAACCTGATTTAACCCAGCTCTCTGAGGCTGCGTGCTGCGCTCTGGCCAGTGGTGCTGAGCACACTGTGCCTGGCTCCTGTCGAACTGATGCTGTGGAGACTCAGGCTGCATGCACAAGCAAGCCTTCTGCTGCAGGCTGTCGCTCTATTTATAGCCCCCGGCCAGATCCCATGGGTGGGGAGGGACACATGAGGAAGGGGCTCTGTCTCGTCGCAGAGAGTTGAAAGTCAACATGTGGTGCAGACACAATAGTGAGGGGCTGCTATCTTCCTCTCAGCTGCTGTCTGAAGCTCTCTGCTCAGTATTCTGAAGGCCTCCAGTGAAGGATGAGCACACGGTAGAGAGCTGGCTCTGGGGCTTTGAAATGTGTCCTGTTCTTATTGCACAAAGAAAGTGGATGATTGTGGAGCTGTCTGAGGAGAGATGTGTGAATCTAAATGTTAGATTCACTATATTGTTAATACAAACAGTATTGTTTATAGTCTACACTCTATGGCCGGTAGATTGTATGTGGTGGCGGTGGTGGTGTGATGGACCCCTGATGTATATGCTTGCGCTTCTGGGAGTTCCATTTTCACAATGTAGCACCGGAACTTTTTAGGGACTGTGTGAAATTTTGAATAAACTAAACATCTATCACATTCTATGACCCATTTGTATGTTATGTAAAAGCATGAGACTGTTTCCATCCATCCGTCCGTTTTCCAGGCCAAAGTTCTGCCAACTGAGCCACTGTGACCTCTTGTGCTTGATCAGTAGATACATCATTGTTTTATAGCACTTTTCAAAGACCGTTGCAAAGCCTGTCCAGTAGACTCATGTGGAATCCTGCCCCTACAGGACAGTCTGTAATACTGCGTGTCTGCTCTGTGATGATTCATTGTGTGGCTGTTGTATCCGTGCAGAAGCTGGAGGTCTGATGTCCAAGGACCCGCTGCCCCCTCAGGGCACCACGTTAGAGGCTCTGCTGCGGGGAGAGGGCCTGGAGCGGAGGAACAATGCCAAGAACGATGAGGAGAGTTTGTTGGAGATCCAGGTGTGTGTGTAGGCCCTTAACCCCGGCCCTGTCTGCTCCCAACCCCCGACATTACTGATGTACTGACACTACTGTGCCCCGGCTGGTTGCCAAGGCAACTTTCCAAGTTTTTCCACCTGACCTGCAGGCCTCATTAGCACAGCCCCCCCATGTGCCGCCTGTCTGCACACTCTCAGTACAGTTTGTAATAGTAATTATGATGCCATATCCAGGCATTACATTCAAGATGTATTTTTCAGATGTTTAGACTGTTAGGCCACAACTTTATTTAAATGTTGGAAATCATTTAACATTGTTTTTTGTTGCAAATAATTAGTTTTCAATGTGAACAAACCAGTCTAGAACAACACGAAATTTTGCAATCTGTAATGACCCAAAAATAAGTGAGAGAGTGATGTGGAGAGCTGTCTGCGAGTGAGGGGGCTTCCGTCTTGTGGCATCCATCATGTTAGTGCCCAAAGCCCCCGTTCTGCACTGAGTCAAGTCATTTAAGAAGGAAAAAATATTCTTCTGTATTTGTCAGAGGGTTTTGGAGGCCGATGCAGCTGAAGATGCTTTTGACGATGACGAAGACTTTGAGGTGGACACTCCCAAGAGACGACACAGAGGAAAAGGAAGGGCAAGTGTCTCCACTCACTGCACATGAGCTGAACACTGCAGCAGAACACTGCAGCAGAACAGTGGGCTTACTTTGTTTGTCCTCAGGGGCGAGGATCAGGACGCAAGAAGGCCGACTATGACGACAAGCCATACGTCTGTGACAGTGAGTAATCGCCAATATCTATTCAAATTATTCCATTTTTTTGTCGGAAATGATTAAGGGGGGGAGTGAGAAACCTATCTGGTCTATAGGTCCAGGACTTGGGTTTTAGAACAAGGACTGAGGCTGCGGTGGTTCAGGGGTCCCATCATCACGCCATGAAACGCAATGGGACAGAAGGCGAATAGCAATGACTAGGTGTTTTAATGCACGTCTGACATAATGCATCTATTTGGACAGTAAACCTGTGTCCCATCACTGCTAAAAACCAAATCATGTATCAAGATGAAAAAACAGGGAGCTATATAGAGGCCACAGAGTTCAAATAACTTGGTAAAAAAAGTCCAGGAATGACTATAAGTGTCTCATATTCTGGTGTGTGACATCATCCAGGACACAAGGCCATGTTGGGAGTGCCCTGCTGTATCTGCACATACAACATGCATGTGGAAAAGTCAAGTGCTGGTGTAGGGTGTTCAGCTAATGTCCTTCTCTTTTGACTCTTTTTCAGGCAGATACAAACCACGTCAAAACTCCAAATCCACACCTCCAGGTATAGTTTGTCTGGTTTGGATCTACCATTTAATACTGCAACCATTAAACGCCCAGCTTTTTGGTTTTGGTTTGGTTTTTTGTAAAGCCCTAAATCCCAAGAGTAGTTATCTTTGTGAAGACTTTACCAGGTTTTGACTTAATATAGTTGAAGATATTTTTTTAAATGTCTTGCTTTTAATAAAACTGGCCAAAGACTAAACATCACAAATTACATATATTGTCAACTTTGGTGCCTTTGGTCAAATGTAACTGAGACATGCTAAGAAAACAGTCAGTTTTTTAAGACAGTACAATATTCTTATGTTTATTTTTGGAGAACGTGGAGAACATTTCTCTCCCTAAATTAGTGTCCTCTGGTTTTTGGTTTTTGCAGTTTGCACTAAGCGCTACAGGAACAGGACCGGCCTGAGTTACCACTACACCAATTCACACGCTGCGGAGGAGGAGCGGCCCGGAGAGAGGAGCGCCACGGTTCCCAGGACTCCTTCTATACCACAGAACGACAGACAGAAACGTAAGCTCAGTTGTTTTGAGGTTTCGACAGTTGTCTCCAGGATTTCCCGAGGGTCATTCAATTATAAACCAGATATTGCAGATGATTGAGCCAAAGAGCTTTACATTGAACGTGAAGAGCAAGATCCAACAGAAGGAATCAACTCTTTTAAGCCCTAGAGTGTTTTCAGATATTTAAATTGATTAGTTGGTGCAAGACTTTCAAACATCTTTATGTCGCATGGCGCCGTAAAGATGGCGCCGTGGCAAGAGCTCTGGTGTGTGTCGTCCTGGTGCACACCGGGGCAGTCTTGCACAGTTTTTCCTATGTGGTTTTACTGCAAATGGCAAATAAATTAATCTGAATCTGAATCTGAATCTGAGTACGTCATTGCTCTGCTCTGCTCTGTTCTGCTCTGCTCTACTCTACTCTACTCTACTCTACTTCACAATACCATGTAAGAAGGTTTTTGGGAAGTAATTCTACTTGCGCCTAATTCTATAAAAAAATTTAAAAAAACATTTGAGATCCACTTACCAATGGTACATTTATTTACTTATATTATTCACCTCAGAAGCTAAGCATGGCAGGGCCTGGTTAGTACTGTGATGGGAGAGTGGGAACCAAACTGTCGCTGGGTCCACTTTGCTGAATGTGGCTGAAGGGGTTTGGTGTGTGAGTGGTTGGTGGTGGTCAGAGAGACCGACGGCACACACTCGCTGCCTTGTTTCAGTCGCTCTTCCCCAAAAGCCACTCATCACCACTGTGAACCACTGAGTGAAACAATATCTGAAGCATTGTTGAGTTTAAGGTCCTGGGTTCAAATCCCGGTTTGACCAGGGCCTTTCTGAGGGGAGTTTGCATGTTCTCCCCGTATCTGCGTAGGTTTCCTCCGGGTGCTCCGGTTTCCCCTACAACAAAAAATATATACAATAGGTCTGGCTTTTGCCTCCTGTACTGGCACCCCCACGCCCAAAAATCACAATTGTAAACCGCTTTGAGACTCCGATGTGCAGTGAAAAGGCGGTATATAAATAAAGATTACTTACTACGGTACCAATCCATTATAGTCTTGGAAGTTATGTACAAAATATGAAAAACTAAACCTAGTGGAGAAAATTTGTGAGCAACCTCAGGGAGACCCACAGTGATCAAAAACATAAAAGTGATATACTCAGATCAACTTGTTCTCTGTTAAAGCTTGCCTTCTGTGTTTCACTTTGGATTCTGTTTTGAAGGTCCAAAGGGTCAAGCTGGAGCAAACATTCCCAACGACTTCTGTACGAAATGCCACGGCTCAAAGAAAACCGGTAAATCTGGCTCCCCCTGCACGGCCTGTCAGCGCATAGGTGAGGGTATACAATAAATATGCATCAAATACTTCTCCACAACAAGGTTTCTTTACTTTGGAAACTCTCTTCACTGTCAGCTGACTGCGGAGTGGAGAAAGAGGACGGGCCGATGGCCGGAGCGGAGGAGCTGTTCGGAACCACCTCTGAGAGCGACACGTCCACTTTTCACGGCTTTGAGGACGAGGACCTGGAAGAGGCTGCAGCCAACGGCAACGGCATCTCTAGCCGCCACAGATAGAAGACCTTTATCACAAAGACCCTTTTAACTTAATGGATTCACCTCTGGCAACAATCTGCTGCTTTGATTTTTTTATGTTTTGTTATGTTTGTGGAAAGCACAAAGTGAGAATTTCAGGACGTTGATGCAAGAGGTATTTTATCTACTGAACACTGAGTAATTTATGACCTTCCTTTTTATATATAAAATTATATAAATTAACTTTTAAAACCATGAAGAAGTCGACAGTGACAAAGCTGTTCCTTTTTCCTGTCGCTGGAGAGAAAGACGTGCAACGTACGTAAACACTGGAGACATTACTGTGTTTTTGTTTTTTAATGAAAGGAGTTGAATATTGGAAAAGTGAAATGTCAGTGCAGACGGGACGTGAGCTGCTTGATGTTTGTGAATTATTTGTCCATTTTGGACCATTTTTCTGATCTTACTCTGGACTAAACTTGTTGGACTCATGAAGGAACCAAGGACATGTATAATCAAAGCCTCCAATATACTATATTATGAAGATTAATTTAATGCCACAATATCTTTTTTTTTCTTCTGAGCACTGAAAGGTACGTCTTTTGTTTTCTTTTTGGCCCCAAGTGTTCAGTGTCTCACCCTTTTTTGTGTTGTACAGGAGCACAGGCTGTACATAAACTATGAAGAGGACTTGATCTCCAAATGATCTCCATCTCCCTCCCCCAGTGGGACTAGAACTGACTGACTGACTGGGTGGAAAGACATCCACAATGTGTAAAAGCCATGTCTATTAATTGCGGCAACTGTTCCCCTGACAGTGCGTATTGATCATTGTGAACATTTGATATGTGAGAAGCTCCAGCGCTTCACCGCTGGTGCACTGTGCTGGGACAACACTGAGCTTTAGGAGCGCTACAGGCCTTCGCTAGGTCAAGAGTGTGCCCCCTGCTGTGGGTGGGGCCACTCACGTGCTGAATGAAACCAAAGGTCTCAAATACAGAAGCCAGCTCCTTTGCATTTCTGTCATCAACATTATCAACATGTACATTAAAATCACCTGTAATAACTAAACTATCAAAATCTGTGCACACGAATGAAAGTAGTTCAGTAAAATGGTCAATAAAATCGCAACATGACTGTGGTGGCCTGTACAGGACAATGAAAAGAGTAGAAGATTGCTTTTGTTCCATTTTAAAAGAAATATACTCAAACGATGAAAAATTTCCAAGGGGCATTCTATGGGAGACAAAGTGCTCTCTAAAAACTGCAGCTATGCCTCCCCCCCTTTTGTTTTCTCGTATTTCGGATTCGAATTTAAAATTGGGTGGTGTTGCTTCTATTAGAACTGCATTTCCTGTATTTTGGTCCAGCCATGTTTCAGCCATAAGCATAAAATCAAGATCATAGGAAGTGATAAAATTATTAATTAAAAATGATTTGTTACATAGAGATCTGACATTAAGCATAGCAAGTTTAAAAATAACGTCAGAGTCGATTAATGTGGTTGATTGATTTCTACAGGGAACAGAAATTAGATTTGCAGAGTTGGACCGTCTAACTGCTGTCCTGTTTTGATTTCGTTTTTTAGAATTTAAAAACATTTTTGAGCTGGTGCGAGGAACACACACAGTCTCAATTGGCCTAAAATGTGAATGTGTGCAGCTTGTCAAACCTTCAGTTAACTTATGTCTTAACCTTTTTAGTGTCATGTCTGAAACTGCGAGCATGTGTCATTCTTGAACTCTTTATTTAACATTACATAAACTTGGGTCCGGCACGGTAGTGCGATTCCGAACAAAAGCAGCGGTCAGTGTATCCATCCCAGCGTCAGTCTTCTTGGAAAAGCCTGTATACCTCGTCAAAGACACAGCAATAGGCCCTGATGCTCCCGAGTGACAGAGGGAGAGTCCTGGCCAAGAAATGAGCTGAGAGGAGATGGTTTATTTCATCTTTAGCTGTAAATATGTTGAAATGAAGAAGTCTTTGTTTGTTAAACTATTTTTATTGTTCTGAGAAAATAAAACAAAAACAAAAAACATTGAGTTTTATTTTTGTGGAGTTTTATTCTGACCTTCACAATCGCAGCGAGTTGAGAATTCCATCTATAGTTTGGAGTGGAGGCCAGACTTTAAATTAGAACAGGACACGAAGGGAGCTGCAGCTCAGAGATATTGATCGTGAGGTGTTGCTTTATTAAACACTGAAATCCGGACAGAGCGAGAGGAAATACTGAAGAGAGAGAGAGGGCTGTATCTGGCAGCTCTCTGGAAGGTCGACTTAGACCATCTGTACATGCAATAAGTCTAAGTAGGGATGCACTCATACGATACTGGCATCATATTTGTGCTGATATTAGAAATGTTTGATATCCGAGAATATCCTATAACAGGCCTATTCAACTTTCGGTCCCGGGGGCAAAGTTAGGCCCTCCGAACAATCTGATCTGGCCCTCAGTCCATGTTCACTGCAAAGAGTGATCAAAGATTAGGCAGTTATTTTTTTAATCAAGTAGTTTTTATCTTTGTTTAAGTGCATTTTGGAAAACTAGATTTGCCAAAGAGGGACTTTCTATTTTGAAAGTTGTGAGAATGTGTGTTTTAGATTGTTTCATTGAATAAATCTTGATTCATTTTGTCAAGATAAATGTAACCTAATGATTTATTTTTTAGGATAATTTAATAATAAAGTCTGGTTAAAACAGGTTTATAAAAGATTAGCACTAGTTCGACGTTCATTTTCACAAAAATATGAATTATATATCCGACCCAGGACATGGCTTCACTTCAGTTCAAAGATTCACAGGTATCAGTCCATTATTGGCAATCAGAAGTTGTTGAAATTTAGCTTGGCTACTATTTTGAAAGGGTTTTGCCCCAAACTTTGGAGACTTTACTTTATGAATTGGATTAAGCAAAAATAAGTTATACTTCAGCCTAATCCCTTTGGTCACACATGTTTTCGTAACCTTGCCTTTTTTTTATATCAAAAAATATAATAATTTTTATGACCGAATAAACAAACCTACTAAACTTACTATTGCAGCACTGACAGTTTTCTACTATACCTTTATTATCAAATCACTCAAAACTCCATCTGTTATTCTTCCACATAATAATCATAGTTACTTTTTATCCGTCCCTCCAACTGCAGAGCATCTGAGAGTCAAAGAGCTGAGAGTCCAAAGAGCGCTGTACAGCCACAGACAGGTCCAGAGCTTTTATTGTTTCGTAAGCTAACAGAAGAAGTAACAGAAAGACCACAAGAAAAAAAAATCGAGGAAAACAAACAAAAAAAACAGAAATAATCAACAGCACTACTAATAGAAAAAAAATACACAAAAAAACCCACTACAGCTAAAAAAAAAGATAGACGCTAAATAGACCACGAACTCAACAAAACAAAACTAATAAAAAAAACCCCAACACGGAGAGAACCAAACTAACCCTAAACTAAAACCGCACACAACCCCCCGTCACCCCACCCACTCCCCGCCCAACCGCCCCTCCTACCCCTACCCCCTCCCCCACCCCGCGCCACCCGGCCAACCCTCCCCATCCCCTCCCCCCCCACCCTCACCCCCTCCTCCCCCCCACCCTCCCCCACGCACCCCCAAAACGTTCGCCCCTCGCCCCAGTCAACTTTTCCCCTCCCCCTCCCTTCCCCCCCCCCCCTCCCTGCACACCTACCCCGCAACTCCCCCCCATCCATCTCCCCCCCCCACATTCACCCCCCCCCTAGTCCCCCCCCACCTCCCCCCCGTCCCCCCCTCGCCACCACCCGCCCCCCCCCTACGCCCGCCACCCCCGACCCCCCTCACCCCCCTCCCCCCCACCCCCATCACCTCCCTGCCCCACGCCCCCCACCCTGCCGAGCACCGACCCACCTACCTTTACCACCTCCCCTCCACCCCCCCTCCCCCCCTCCCCCGTCCCCACCCACCTCCCCCCAATGCCCACCGCTCCTCCCCCACCCACGCTCTCGCCCCCCGCTCAGCCACCACAGCCCCCCCCCCACCCCACCCCCCCCACCCTCCCCCCGACCCGCCCAACCCCCCAACCCGCCCCCCCCTCCCCCCCAGGACACACGCCCCGCGCCCCGCCCCCCCACCCCCCCCCTCCCCGCCACCCCCCATCACAAACACACGCAACACTACACCACCGGCCAAACAAGGCCAACACTACAACGACACAACACACCACTCCCCATCTCGCCCGCCCCCCCCCCCCCCCCTCACCCTCCCCCACCCCCACACCCCCACCTACCCTCTCAGCCCACCGCCCACCCCCCGCCCACCCCACCCCCTCCCCACCCCACCCCCCCCCCCACTACCGAACACCCCAGCGCCCCACCCCCACAACATCCCCACCCCCCCAACTCCCCCGCCCGACCCCCTACCTCACCCCCACCTCCCCCACCCCCCGCCTACCTTGCCCCCCCACCCCCCCCCTCCCCCCCCCCCCCCCCCCCCCCCCCCCACCCACCCCCGCCACCCCACCCCCCCCCTCCTCACCACCCGCCACCCCCCCCATCCAACCCCCCCCCCCCCGCCCCCCCCTGCCCAAGACCCCAACCCCCCGCCACCCCTCATACAACCCCCCACCCACAAACACCCCGCTCCCCCCCGCCCTCCCCAAACCCGCGCCACCCCCCCACCCCTGCACCTCACAACACCTAACGCGAACCCCTAACCCCCTACCCGCAAACCAGCCAACCCCTCCAACCCCCGACGGCCCAACACCCCCCCCACACCCCCCCCCCCCTCCCCACCCATCCCCGTACTTACCGCCACACCGCTCAGCACACCACCACCCCCCCCAAAACACCCCCCACCCCGCCACCAACCCACTACCAACATCCCCCCCCCCCCCCCCCCCACCCCCACACGCCCACCCGGCAACGGCCAAGGCAAACTAAACCCCCATTCGCCCCACCAGCGCAACCAACCGCCCCCAACGACACCACCCACCCTCCCCCCCCAAACCTCCCCACAAGCTCCCACTTAAGCATGTCCCCCCCCCGACCCCCCACGCCCCACCCACCCCGCCCCCCCACCCCCCCCCCGCACCCCACCCCACACCTACCTCCCCACCCACCCCCCCACCCCTCACCGCCCCCACCACGCCCCCCCATCCCCCCCCCCCCTCCACCCCCCCTCCGACCCCACACCCCACCCCCCCCCCACCCCCCCCTCCCCCCCCCCTACCCCCGCCCCCCCTCCCACACCCTCCTACTCCCCCCATTTAGCCCCCCCCCCCCCCACGCCACCGCCCCCCCCTTCTCCGCCCCCCCCACTCGTCCCCCTTTCCCCCCCCACCCACCTAACCCACCGCCCTCCCCCACCCCAACCCCACCCAGCATCCCCCCCCCCCTCCATATCCCCCCGTCCCCTACCCCATAAGACCCCAACCCACTTCGCCACACTCCACACCCTCCCTCTCCCGCCCCCCCCCAAGCACCCCCCTCCGCCCCCCACGCCCCTGAGTGGGGGGGTGTGGGGGGGGTGGTGTGAGGGTTGGAGAGATGGGTCCCCCACACCCGGGCCCACCACACCCCTCCCCCCCCCCGCCAACCTCCCTCACCCCACACCCACCCCAACACATCCCCCACCCACCCCACAAACCAAAACCCCACGAATCCAAACCGACAACCGCCCCACGCTCCGCACCACCCCCCCCACACCCAACGACCCGGCTCCAACACCCGCCCCACCCCCCAGCTCAACCCCAAGCAGCCACCACCACAAGGCCCGCCACCCACCAATTCACCCCCCACACAAACCTACCCTCCACCCAAGCCCCCCATACCACCCCCACCGTCGAACCACCCTACACGCCACCCACACCTCCCACCCTCCCGACCCTACCCCCACCAAACTCAACCCCCCCCACCCCACCCCACCCCCCACACACCCCCCCACAGCCACCCACACTCACACCACCACCCAAACCCCCCTCACATACCCACACCGCCCACAGCCAACACCCCCCCCCCCCCGCGCTACACAACCACCCACGCCCCACCACCCCCACCCCAGCCTAAATCCAGCCCCCCACCCCTCTCCCCGCCTCCCCCCCTCCCCCCCCCTACCCCCTAGCCCAGCCCCACCCCGCCCCCCCCCCACCCCCCACCCCCCGCACCCACCCCCCCGCCACCCCACCGCCCCCCCCCCCCCCCCCTCCCCCCCCCCCCACTCCCCCCCCACGCCGCCCCCTCCCCCGACCACGGCACCCCCCCCCCAACCCTCTCCCCCCCCCCGCATCACCTCCCCCCTCCAACCCGCAAACTGCCCCCAACCCCCCCACCCACCCCCCCCTCCCCACGCCGCATCGATCCCCTAACCCCCCACACCCCCCCACCCCCCCACTCCTCCCCCCTCCCACCCCCTCCCCCGCCCACTCCCCCCCGCGCACTCCCCCCCCCACCCCCCCCACCCCCTTCCTCCCTCCCCCCTCGCCTCCCCCCCCCCACCCCTCCACACCCTCCGCCTACAACCCCGCGAGACACCCCCACCACCCCACCCCCTCCCGCCACCACCACCCTCCCCACACCCCCCCACCCCCCCCCACCACACCCCTCCCTCCACACCCCACCCCCTCCACACCTCCCACCCCACCACCCAAGCACCCCCCCCACCTCCAACCCCCCCGCCGCCACCCGCCCCTCCCCACTCCCGGTCCGCCTCACCACCCCCCCCACCCCCCCCCCCACCCTCCACAACCCCCACTCATCCCCAACCCTCCCCCCGCCCCCCACCCCACCCCAACTCCGTCCCACACACCCTACCCCCCCACACCCCCCGAATCCGTACCACCAGCACACCCAACCATCCCCCCCACCACCCACCCACCTCCCGAACTGCCCCGCCCACCCACTCCCCCCGCCCTCCCCTTCAACCCCCAACGACTCACACCCCCCCCTCCCACTTCCCATCCCCCCCCACCACCTCCCAGCATGCCCCCCACGCCCGCCACCCCCCCCCCCACCCCCACGCCCCCCCCCCCCCACCTTTCCCTCCCCCCCCCGCCCTACCCCCCCGTCGCACCCACCCCCGACAACCCCAGCAGGCCCACCCCCCCCCCCTCCACCCACGCCCATCCCCACGCCCCCCACACCCCCAGCCCCACCCCATCACGACGCCCACCCTACACCCACCACTCTACTACCCACTCCCCCCGCCCCCCCCCCCTCCCATCCCACACCCCGCCCCCCCACCCGCGCACCCCATCACCCCCCCACCCCCCCCCCCCCATCCCCCACCCCCCTTCCTCCCCCACCCCCCTCCCCACCCCCCCCCCACCCCCCCCCCCTCCCCCCAACCCTCCTCCCACCCAGACCCCATCCCTCCTCACTCCCACCCTTCCCCGCACCATCCCCCACGCCTTACCCTCCACCCGCCCCCAACCCCCCCCCCACCCCCCGCCAACGACCCCCCCCCCTCCCCCACAAACACCCCCACCCCCCCCCCCATCTGACCTCCCCCCCCCCCCCCCAACCCCCCCCCCCCCCCCCCAACCGGCCCTCCCCCGCCCCCCCCCTCACCCCAACTCCCTCCCCCACCCCCCTCCCGCCACCCCCCTCGCCCCCCCCCCCACCCCCCCACTCCCCCGATTCCCCCCCCCCCCCCACCCACCACCCCTCCCAATCCCGTCCCCTCTCCCCCACCCCCCCCCCCCCCAAACACCCCACCCCCCCTTCCCCCCCTCACCCCCCCGCCCCCCCCCCCCCACCACCCCCCCCCGCCCACCCCACGAACAGCCCCCTCCACCAAAGCCACCCCCCAGCCCCCCCCCCCCCGCACACCACAACCCCCTCCTCCCCCGGCACCCCCCCCCCACCCCCCCCCAATCTCCCCAACGCCCACGGCCCCACGCACCCCCCCGCCCCAACCCTGACCCCAACCCACAACACACCCCACACCCCACCCCCCACCGCGCCCCCTCCCTCCCACCCCTCCCAGCCCTCTCCCCCCCTCCCAACACCGCCTCCCCCCAACCCGCCCACACAACTCTCCCCCCCACCCCCCTCACCCCTCCCCCCGACCCCCCCCCCCCCCCTCCCCCCCCCCCCCCAGAACACACCCCCTCCTACCCCCCCCCCCCCCCGCAACCCCTCCCTACTCCCCCCCCCCGCCTCCCTCCCAGCCCGCTCCCCCCCCCCACCCCATACCCCACCCCTCCCCCCGCCCCCCCCCACGCCCCCCCCCCCCCCCCCCCCACCTACGCCGCTCGACCCCCGTCCCACCCCCCACCCGCCCACCCCACCCCTCCACCCGCCCCCCTCCCCCTCCACCCCTCCCCCCACCCCTCCCCCCCCCCGCGCCCCCCCCCCTCACCCAGCCCCCCGCCACCCCCGCCCTCCCCCCCCCCACTCTACACCCAAACATACCAACCAGCCCCTCTCTACACCCCGCCCCTACACCACACCCCACCCCCCGCCCACCCCCTCCCCCCCCACTCCCCTTTCCCCACCGCGCCCCCCCCCCCCCCCCCACCCACGTCCCCGCTCCCCCTCCCACCATCCCAGCCACCTCCCCCCTCTCCACCCCCCGCCGCCACCCCCCACCGCGCCTGTCCCGTCCCCACCCCTCGCCCCCAACCGCACCCCACCTCCCCCCCCTCCCCCTACACCCCCCCCACCCCACCCGCCCCCCCCCCCCAACTCCCCCCCGAGCCCCCCCCCCACCCACCCCCCCCCCCCCACCCCCCCCCACCAACCCCTCCCCGCCCCCCCCCTGCCGCCTCCCTCACCTCCCGCCGCCCCCCACGCCCTCTCACACTCCCCCTCCCAACCCGCCCCACCCCCCCCTCAGCCCCCCCCCCCCACCTCACCCCACTCCCCCCCACCGCACCATCCCCCCCCCCCCCGTCCCACACCCCCCCCCCCCCCCACCCACTCCCCCCCCCCCATCCCCACCCCCCCCCCCCCCCCCCACCCCCGCCTCACCCCCCCATATCCCCCACCGCGCCCCCTCCAACAATCCCCCCCCGACTCACCCCCCACCCCCCCCCCCCAAACCACCACACCTCACCCCACACCTCGACCCCACTGGCCTCCCTCCCCCCCCATCCCTCCCCCCGCCTCCACCCCCCCACCCCCCCCCCCCCCCACACCCCCTCCACACACCACCACCCGACCCCCCGTCCCCCCCCCACCCCTGCCGCCCCCACCCCCCCCCCCCCCCAAAAACCCCACACCCCCCCCACCCCCCCCCCACCGACCCCGCCACACACCCCTCCCTCCCCCCTAACCCCGCCCCCCCCCCACCCGCCCCCACGCCCCTTAGGCACCCCCCTCACCCCCTCCACCCACCCCGACACGTCCACCCCCGCCCCCACCCCCATGCCACAACCCCCTCCCCACAGTCACCCCTCCACACACCACCACCCCCCGCAGGCCACGCCCCCCCTCCCAGGCCCCCCCCCCCACACCCTCTCCCACATCCCCCCCCACCTCCCTACCCCCCCCCCCCGACTCCCCCCGCCCCCCCCCCCCCCCCCCTCCCCCTCCGCACCCCCCCGCGCCGCCACTCCCCCCCCCCACCGCCCTTGACGCCCCCGCCCCCCCACCCCCCCCCCCCCCCCCGCATCGCCAACCCCCCCATCCCCACACCCTACCCCCACCCCCCCGCCAGGTCTCCCGCTCCCCCCACTGCCCCCCCCCCCCCTCCCACTCCACCCCCCCCCCCAACTCCACTCCCGCCACCCCTCCCCCCCCCCTCGCCCCCCATACCCCTCCTCACCCCCCCCTCCTCCCACGCCCCCCCACGCCTCCACCCTCCTCCACCCGTGCCCCCCCCCGCCCACCACCACCCCCCCCACCCCCCCCCCCCCCCTCCCACACGCGGCCAACCCCCCCCACCCCGCCGCCGACCCAACACCACCACCCCCACCACACACTCCCCCACTCCCTCGACCCACTGCCCCCCCCCCACCCCCCCCTCCCCCCGCCCCCCCCCCCCCACACCCCCCCACCTACCCCCCAGCCCCCCCCTCCCACCCCCCGCCACCCCCCCCCCCCCTCCCTCCCCCTCCCGCCCCCCCGGCCCCCTCCCCCACCTGCCCCCCAGTCTACGACCCCCCCGCCCTCCCCCCCACCCTCCCCACACCCCAGCCCCCCCCTCCCCGTCCACTCCCTCCCCACCCCCGCCCCCGCCCCGCCCATACCGCACCCCCGTACCCCGCCCCCCCCTCGCACTCCCCCCCCCCCCCCCTACCCTCTCCCCACTCCCTCTACATCCCAGCCCCCCACCCCACCTCCCGACCCCCCCCCGAACACCACCCACACCCCCCCATCGCCCCCCCCGCCACTCCCCCGCCGCCATTCCCTCGCCCCACCACCCCCCCCTTCCCCCCACCCCCCCCCAAACCCCCCCCCCCCCACCCACGGACCCCCCCCGACCTCCCCCACCCCCACCCCCTCCCCACCCCCCCCCAGACCCCCCCCCCCCACACCCCCCCACCCTACCTCCCCCTGTCCCCCGACCCTCAGCCCCATCTCATCTCACTCTCCCCCCCCTGCCCAGTGCCCACCCCGCACGTCCCGCCCCCCCCCCCCACGCCCCTACCGCCCCCCGACCCCCTCGCGCAACGCCCCCAAGCCCGCACCCCACCCCCCCACCACCTACGCCCCCACACCCCAAACCACCCCCCCCCCAAACACTGCCCAGCGCCCTCACCCCCCCCCACCGCCCCACACCCCCCCCCCCCACCACTCCGCCCCCCAGAACCCCCCCGATCAACGACCAGCCCCCCCCCCCCCCCCACCCCCTTCCGCCCGGCACCACCCTCCACACCCCACACCACCACCACTCCATCCCACGAACCCCCTCGCCCCCACTCCCCCCCCCACCCACCCCCCGCCCCCCAACTACCCCCCGTGTCTCCCTAGCCCCCTCCTCACCCCACCCCCCCCTCCCACCCCCGACACACCCCCGCACCACCACACCTCAACTCCTCCCCCCCCCAACCTACAGACCGCCCCCCGCCCCCCCCCCCACATCGGCCGCCCCCCCCCCCCCCACTCCCCCCTCCCCTCACCGTCCCCCCCGACTCCACCCGCCCGCACACAACGCCGTTCCCCCGCCCCCCACCCCCCCACCACCCCCTCACCCCACCACCCACCCCCCCCCGCACCCCCCACAGCCCCCAACCCCCACCCCCCCTACGCCCCCCCACAAACAAACCCCCCCCCCGCTCGCCCACCCCCCCCCCCCCACCCACACCCCCCCCCCTCCCCCCCCCCTCCACCCCCACCACCTAACCACCCCCGCCCCCCCCCCCACCACCCGCGCACCCCCCCCACCCGCCTCACCCCCACCCACCCCCCCCCCCCCCCCACCAGCCCCCCCCCCCCCCCCACGCCCTTACCGCGCCCCCCCACCCCCCCCCTCCCCCCCCCCCCCCGCTCGCCCCCCCCCCACAGCGCCCAACCCACCCCCGTCCCGCACCCACCCCCCTCCCACCTCCTTTCCGGCCAAACCCACGCCCCCGCCTCGCGCGACACCCCCCCCTAACCCCCACCAACCGACCGCCGTCAAGACGCGCAAACCCACACCCGCCCAACCCCAAACCACACAGAGCTATAAAACGAACCCAAAAAACCATAAAAAATACAAGAAAAACAAAAATGCACCTAAAAAAAAACCACTAAACCACACAAAGCGGAACCAAAAAAGAAAAGATCAAAACACATTCCCCACACCACGCCTAAGAACCAATACAAAACAAAAAAACCAATGAACCACCGGGGGAGACCCCCAGTACAACAAAACCCACCAAACAAAAACACACCCCCAAACCCAACTAAACACAAAACCATCCCCAGAACAGAAAAAACAAGACTCCTACAACTCAACCATTACCCAACAAGAACGCCAGCCATCAAAACCCACAAATACCGAGAAACCCAACCCAAACCCGGCCTCCCCACCCCCCCCCCCCCCCTCCGCACCCCCCCCACCCACTCCCCCCAATCTACCCCCAGCCCCCCCACCCACCCTCCCCCCCAAACCACCCCACCCCTCCAGCCCAAAACCCTCCCCCCCCACCCGCACACCACCCCCCGCCCACACAATCCCTACCCGAAGATCCACTCACACGCCCCCACCAAACAGCCCCCCACTACTCACCCCACCCCCCCCCCAAGCCACACCCCCCGTCCACCTCGCCCCCACCCTACCCCCCCCCACACCCCCCCCAAATCCCCCCCCCCCCCCCACGCCCCCCCCCCCCACACCACCTCCCCCACCACCCTCCCCAACACACGACCCGCCACCCCTTCCCCCCCCTCACCCCACTCCCACCCCCCCCAGCATCCCCCACACCCAACACCACCCACACCCCCCTCCCCAACGCACCCCGCCCCCCCCCCCCCGACCGGTCTCTAACGCTCGCCCCTCATCCCGACTCCCCCCACAACACCACCCACCAATAACTCGATTCCCCCACCCCTCCCCCACCAACCCCACCAACCCTTCCCAGCTCAGCCTCACCCCCCACACCCCAACCCCCCCCCCCCACCACCCGCCCCCCCCCGCCCCACCACCCCCGGCCTCCTCCTCCCCTTCCCCCCCCCCTAACCCATCACCACCCCCACCCCCCCCCCCCCCCCCCCCCACCTCCTACGCCCCCCCCCCCCACCCCCACCGCCCTCACCATCTCTCTCCCGCCCCCCCCCACCCCCCCCGTCACCCCCCTCCCCCCCTCCCCACCCCACCCCCCCCCCATTCACCCCCCCCCCCCACCCCCCACCTCCCTCCCACCACCCGCCCCCCGTCCCACCCCACCCGCACCCTGCCCCCTCACCACCAACCCCCACCCCGCCCCCACCCCACCCCCCCCCCCCCCCCTCCCCACCCCCACCCCACCCCTCCCTCCCCCCTCGTCCTCACCCGCCCCTCCCCCCCACTCGCCCCCCCCACCCCTCACCCCCCCCACCCCACCCCCCCCGCTCCCCCACCCCACACCCCGTCCTACCCGCCAACCCAGTCCCCCCCCCCCCACCCCCCCCCCGAACCCCCCCCTCCCCGCCCCTCCCACCCCACGCTACCCTCCCCCCCGCCCCCCACCACCCCAGCGCCGCACACCCTACCCACCCCCAACCCCCCCCGTCCCACCCATCCACCCCACCCCACACTCCACCCCCCCCCCCCCCCCCCCCCCCCACTACACCCGTCCCCCCCCCCCCCCCACCCCCCAACCTCTCCCCGCCCTCCCCCCGCCCCACCCCCCCCCCCCCACCCCCCGCCAACCTACCACCCCCCGCAGACCCCACACACCCCCAAACCCCCCAACCCGCGCCACCACCCAAAACCCACCACACCCGTCCCGCCCACAACCCCCCCCGCCCCACCTCCACCCCAGACCCCCAGACCACACCCCCCCCACCCCCCCCCACCCACCCCCCTCCACCCCACCCCCCTTCACCCCCCCCCCCCTCCCCACCCCCCCTCCAGCACCCCCTCAGCCACCACACGCCGACCCACCCCCACAACCCCCCCCCCCCCTCCATCCCCCCCCACCCACCCCCCACCACCCTGACCCCCTGGACCCCCCACACCCCAACCCAGCCTCCCCACCCCCAACCGCCCCCACCACACCACCCCCGCCCAGCACAAACCCCACCCCCGTCCCCCCCCCACCCCCCTTCCCCGCCCCCCCCAAAACACCCATCCCCACCCGCACCTCCCCTCGCGCCACCCGCCCCCTCGTCCCCCCTCCAACCCAGCCCAACCCCCCGCCCCTCCCCCCCCCCCCACCCCCCCTACCACCCCCCCCCCACCACCCCCCCCCCTCCCCACACCCCCCCCCCCCCCACTTGGCCCTACTCCCCACCCCCCACCCCCCCCCCCCCCCCACCCACCCCCCCCCCTCCCCCCCCTCGCCCTCCCCCCCCTCCCCGGCCTCCCCCGACCTACCCGCCACCCCCTACCCCACCCCCCCCCCCCACCCGACACCGCCCAACCCTCTAGCCCCCTCCCCCCTCCCCCCACCCGCCCCCTGCCTACCTATACACCCCCACCACCACCCCCCCCCCACCCCACCCCCGACCCCTCACCCTCACCCCCCCCCCCCTCCCGCACCCCCACCACCCCCCAACCAATCCCCACCACGCACCACCCAACCGCAGCCCGCCCACCACCCCCCAAAACATCCCCCACCACCCCCAAAAACTACCCCCCCCTCCCCTTCCCAACCCCAGCACAACCCCCCCCCCCCCCGCCCTCCGCCACCGGCTCACCCCCCCCACCCACTCCCCCCCCCACACCCCACCCTCCACCTCCAACCCCGCTGCACACCCGAGCCAACACCCCCCACCACCCTCACCCCGCCCCCCCCCCCCACCCCTCACCCCCGCCCCCCCCCCCCCCCTCCCCGCCCTCCCCACCCCCACAACCTCACACCCCCACACCCCCGCCCCGCCCCCAGCCCTCCCCCACCCATCCCCCACCCACCCCCCCTACCCCCCCCCCCCCCCCACTCCCCCCCGCCCCCGCCCCGCCCCCCCCCCCCCACCCCCCCACTCTGTGGCCAAAGGGCCCCTGGGCCCGGCCTTCCGTCTCCCGCTGTGTGATTTGATGTGACACAAAGACATCATTATCCTCATCACTGTGCCAGCCTGCCGCTCTGCACAGGGAACCAGCTCTGACAGCCATGAGCCTGCAGCCGGCCTGGGCCCTGATCCCTCTGACCCAGCCACACACCCCTGGACTACTCTGTGATTACTTCACAAATCTTCTCTGGGCTTTTGGCTTTCTTGCACTTCATTCTCTTGAATGAATTGCTGTTAATTGATTATGTTTTGCTTTTTTCTTTGTTGTATAAAATGTCTGTGTTTGAACTGTTTGGATTAACCATGATTTCTTCTGTGGATACCTCTGTCCTGATCAGGTGCAAAAAAGCCTAAACTACTCAGGCATGTTTGGCTTCCTCTGCTGTTGATTGTCTCGCCTCGAGTCATGTGATTGTACTGAGCTGGCATTCACACAGACGTCACCCAGTGTCCTACAACCATGAACTTTCAGAAGCTCTGCACTCCTGCAGCCTCAACACAATGGACAAGAACGCTGCAATCAGATGTGTCTGCTTCACTCGCCATGCCTCTGCTCTCTTTACTCTTGAAACTGCTGTGGTGGCAGACTGTGACGGGGACTTAATTTCTCTTAGACAGGGTTTTAGATGCATGTCTGCTCATTGAAAGCACATTTAACTAATGTTGACTCTCAGTGGAGGCTTTTGACTGGTTCCAGTTCTTAAGGTCACACAGATGAGTGAAGAGACGGTCCTTCACTACTACTGCAAAGTAATAAGAGCCACAAGGGGTAAGTGAGGACTCGCATGTGCATCTAACACCATCTGTCCTCCTCCCAGCTCAGGGACCCTTCACAGGAGTGCATCATGGGACACAGAATGGGAAATGTGTGCAGCTTGTCAAACCTTCAGTTAACTTATGTCTTAACCTTTTTAGTGTCATGTCTGAAACTGCGAGCATGTGTCATTCTTGAACTCTTTATTTAACATTACATAAACTTGGGTCCGGCACGGTAGTGCGATTCCGAACAAAAGCAGCGGTCAGTGTATCCATCCCAGCGTCAGTCTTCTTGGAAAAGCCTGTATACCTCGTCAAAGACACAGCAATAGGCCCTGATGCTCCCGAGTGACAGAGGGAGAGTCTGGCCAAGAAATGAGCTGAGAGGAGATGGTTTATTTCATCTTTAGCTGTAAATATGTTGAAATGAAGAAGTCTTTGTTTGTTAAACTATTTTTATTGTTCTGAGAAAATAAAACAAAAACAAAAAACATTGAGTTTTATTTTTGTGGAGTTTTATTCTGACCTTCACAATCGCAGCGAGTTGAGAATTCCATCTATAGTTTGGAGTGGAGGCCAGACTTTAAATTAGAACAGGACACGAAGGGAGCTGCAGCTCAGAGATATTGATCGTGAGGTGTTGCTTTATTAAACACTGAAATCCGGACAGAGCGAGAGGAAATACTGAAGAGAGAGAGAGGGCTGTATCTGGCAGCTCTCTGGAAGGTCGACTTAGACCATCTGTACATGCAATAAGTCTAAGTAGGGATGCACTCATACGATACTGGCATCATATTTGTGCTGATATTAGAAATGTTTGATATCCGAGAATATCCTATAACAGGCCTATTCAACTTTCGGTCCGGGGGCAAAGTTAGGCCCTCCGAACAATCTGATCTGGCCCTCAGTCCATGTTCACTGCAAAGAGTGATCAAAGATTAGGCAGTTATTTTTTTAATCAAGTAGTTTTTATCTTTGTTTAAGTGCATTTTGGAAAACTAGATTTGCCAAAGGGACTTTCTATTTTGAAAGTTGTGAGAATGTGTGTTTTAGATTGTTTCATTGAATAAATCTTGATTCATTTTGTCAAGATAAATGTAACCTAATGATTTATTTTTTAGGATAATTTAATAATAAAGTCTGGTTAAAACAGGTTTATAAAAGATTAGCACTAGTTCGACGTTCATTTTCCACAAAAATATGAATTATATATCCGACCCAGGACATGGCTTCACTTCAGTTCAAAGATTCACAGGTATCAGTCCATATTGGCAATCAGAAGTTGTTGAAATTTAGCTTGGCTACTATTTTGAAAGGGTTTTGCCCCAAACTTTGGAGACTTTACTTTATGAATTGGATTAAGCAAAAATAAGTTATACTTCAGCCTAATCCCTTTGGTCACACATGTTTTCGTAACCTTGCCTTTTTTTTATATCAAAAAATAATAATTTTTATGACCGAATAAACAAACCTACTAAACTTACTATTGCAGCACTGACAGTTTTCTACTATACCTTTATTATCAAATCACTCAAAACTCCATCTGTTATTCTTCCACATAATAATCATAGTTACTTTTTATCCGTCCCTCCAACTGCAGAGCATCTGAGAGTCCAAAGAGCGCTGTATAAGCCCATTGTATTCTTATAGCACAGTCCAAATGCCTTAACAATGCCTACAATACTTGAGACCAATCCACTCTTATATGTACATGTTATATTTGTATGTGAAGAATCCCATTGAAGCCCGCACACACAGCCACAGACAGGTCCAGAGCTTTTATTGTTTCGTAGCTATGGATAAATAACAAGTGCTTGAGTGTATCGGGTGCCAGTAGTTTACTTGCTGATTGAAAAACTAAAAGCACAAAATGCCCTGATTATGTTACATGCATAGTAATGTGCCCAGTGTGCTTCCAATGACAAACAGCCAAATTACATCTACAATGCTCTCTAAATGCCATTTGTTTGTGCAGAGAATAATATTTGGTACATTGATTTTTAAGCATATCTTTCTACCATATACAAAGGCTTATGACAGTAATTGTGATATGATATCCATCCATCTTCTCTCATTTCTCCACCCAACTATGTAATGTGACGTGTACATTTCTATCATAAAATATATTCGTTTTTCACTCATTCAGGAGTCCACAGTAGCAGTGTCAGCCACTGGCCACACGGGGGAGCTGTGGTATCCCAAGTAGAAGGCTGAAGCTGTATAGAGGCCTGTTTGGGTTTGACTAGTTCCAACTTGTAAATGTATTTCTATCTAGACAACTCTCCCGCTTTCCCTGCTTTACAGTCCAACAACATGCAACACTTAAAGACGAAACCAAAAGATATGTGGCGCACACAATTCCAAACGGAAAAAAAGTCTGAAAACACATGCTTTTTACAGCAAAAATAGAAAAGTAACCTGCTCACGTTTTGCAGCAGGACCAGAGAACGATAGACATAGACATCTATTTTGTAACATGGACCCTGTGGCTTGTTTAACACATACATTTTTTGTCCCCTTTTCAATCCAGTACAGTTTAAAACCAGCTCTTGTGTCTTTTCCTCTGTTTCGTAATGCAGCTTTTTCTGTGATATATGAAAGCCCTGGTCTGTTTTCACAAGTGGAATGGAAATATTATCAGCTTGGGCTCCGATATCTCATTTCAAAGCACTATTGTAATAACGCAACCCTCGTTTCCAGTGCAGACCTTCGAATGGAACATGAGATATTGCAAAGTGAATGCAACATTAAGCCCTTATGCCAGATTCTGGAATGTAATGAAGCATAGGACAAATCAATCTATGGTGACGGCTGAAAAAGCTCTGTTAAGTGCTTTTCATTAGTGTTACGATGTGTTCCATGTCATTTATGGGAAACGGGGGGAAAAAAACGAGAAAAAAAAGATTACCGTATAAAAACTGTTTGGTTACTTTGAAAAAATAACTAAATTCCTGTTGTTTTTATTGCTGCTCATGCGAGACAGTAGACAGTAGTACATAAATAGAATCTTAATGTAGACGTCGCTGTGGAACCCTTAAAGTTCCCCCCAAAAAATATCTTGTGCTCTCAAGATAATAATTTTATTTTCACAAGATAAAAAAAGAGATTTTTTTTGGGAAACTTCATGTAAGACAGTCAAAAATAGCAAAAATCTGGCCAAATGAATTTTAATTTGAGCACATTTAGACTGCCTTGAAACTAGATTTGCCAATGGGACAAAGCAAAATGATCTTGTTTTGAAAAGCCACTAAAATGTCTCCCTTTGAATGAGAAAATAAAGCAACTGTTCTTAAAATACGGCTTTGTCCCATTGGAAATCTTTTAAAGACTAAGATTAAGATAGAAACCACTTGATTCAAGCAATTATTACCTCATATTTCCCATCATTTTTTGCACTGTAGACATGTATCATAATTTAATAGAATTTCAAAATAGACATTACTGTGGAACCCTAATGGAAAAAATAATCTTGTTCCCACAAGATAATTATCTTGAGCGCACAACATTTTTTCATTTTTTTGTGTGTGTGGGAACTTTACGGGCTCTTTACATATCTCTCTATCTCTCCATCTTTCACAACTGAATTGCACTGAAAAATAAACCAGCGTTCTTCTCCTGGATGAGGGTCAAATGTGACGGGTCCCAGAGGTGAGGTGAGATGGAGCAGCCCTGGTATCGATGTGCTTAAATATGTCGTGCCCGTGTTTTCATCCTCCTCCAGCTGCACAGTGTTGCTCTGAGAGTGGCAGCAGCAGCAGCAGCGCCCCCCGGAGGCCTGGCTGGTAACCTTCGCCGTGGCAGCAGCGAGTAGGTCCAGCTCTGGGCTCCATAGTGTCTGTCCGGCTCAGCTCGTCCGGCCGCCGGCTGGGTCTGACTGTGCCCCTCCAGAGAGCGGGGTGTCAGGAAGACTGCATGAGGCCCGTGAGGCGCTTTCCTGTCAACGACTTTCCCTGCAAAAAGTAAAAATAAAAATAAAAATGTTAGAAGTGGGATGAGACGGGATTCCCACCGGACGAGATGGAACAAGACACGGGGGTCGGCGAGAACGAGACAAGACTTCGCCCTCGTTTGTGTTGTTAAAGAGTCCGGACACAGAAATGTAAAGGCTGAGTTGTTTATCGTCAGGAAAACAAACACATCTGGTCTTTGCTATAGAATTATTTATAAAATCCACTGCGTTTCAACAAAAGTCTTCTTCCATTTAATTAAATGTCACTGGAGAGAAGCCGGTAAGATATTTGTGGATTTTTAAAAAGATACCGTGAGCCTATTTTTCAAGTCATTGTAACAGAAGAGGCAAAAGTCCAAGACATAAGTACTTTAAGGTACATTAAACTTTATACGTGA